TTTTTAGTTGGAGTCTCACTCTGTTGCCCAGGCTGGAGTGCAGTGGCATACTCATGGCCACCCAGCATTGACCTGCTGGGTTCTGGCAATCCTTCCACCTCAGCCTTCCAAGTAGCCAGAACCACAGGTGCGCGCTACTGCACCCAGCTAATTTTATATTTATTGTAGAGATGAGTTCTCACCAAGTTGCCCGGGCTGGTCTCGAACCCACAGCCTCAGTTAATCCACTCCCCTCAACCTCTCAAAGTGCTGAGATCACAGGTTGAGTCATCGAGCCCGGCCTATCTTTATATTAATCTTCACACAATTTACCACCCCTAGAAGCCCAAGCCCCCTTTCCTTTATCTTGTCACTTTTTCACTATTTTCCTTTGTTTAATTGGTATATAAATTTTAAAATTTTCTGCCTCCTCTGTGTGGTTCCTGTGTGCATGTGAACTATACCTTTTCTCCTGCTGATTGTCTTTTGTCAGTTTATTTCGCAGGCCTCAGTTGCTTAACCTAAGAAAATAGAGAAAAAGTGTTTCTCCTCCCCTATAGACTACTATCAAGAACATACAAAGAACACTAACAAGTCAATAATAAAAAAGACAAATGCCCCAATTAAAAAATGGGTCAGCAGGGCTCGGTGCCTCAGCCTGTAATCCCGCGTCTTTGGGAGACTGAGGTGAGTGGATTGCCTGAGCCTGCGGGTTCGAGACCCGCCTGGGCAACTTGGCGAGACTTCATCTCTACAATAAATCAAAAATTAGCCGGGTGTGGTGGCGTGCGCCTGTAGTTCCAGCTACTTGGAAGGCTAAGGTGGAAGGATCGCCGGAGTCCAGCAGGTCGAGGCTGCGGTAGCCGGGAGCATGCCACTGCACTCCAGTCTGGGCAACAGAGTGAGACTCCAACTCAAAAAAAAAAAAATGGATCAAGGTTTTGATTAGATATCTCTTCAAAGAAGATAAATGAATGACCAATAAGTACATGAAAAGATGCTCAACATCATTAATCATTAGAGAAGTGCCATTGTGAAATGAAAACTCCGTCATAGTAGGATGGCTATAATCAAAGAAATGGACAATAACAAGTGTTGACAAGGACGGGCATAGTGGCTCACGCCTACAATCCCAGTACTTTGAAAGATTTAGGTGAGAGGATTTCCTGAGCCCACAGGTTGGAGACTAGCCTGGGTAACTTGGCGAGACCTCATCTCTACAATAAATACAAAAATTAACCAGGCGTGGTGGTACATGCCTGTAGTTCCAGCTACTTGGAAGGCTGAGATGGAAGGATAGCCTGAGCCCAGCATGTCAAGGCTGCGGTGGCTGTGAGCATGCCACTTCCCTCCAGCCTGGATGACAGAGTGAGACTCCAATTTAAAAAAAAAAAAAACAAGTGTTGGCAAGCTTATGGAGAGTTTGGCACACCCATAGATTTCTGGTGTGAATGTAAAATGGTGCAGGCACTTTGGAAAACAGTCTTACATTTCCTCAAAAGGTCAAACATGGGGTTACAATGTGACACATCAAGTTCACTCCTAGGCATATACCCAAGACAATCAAAAACATACATGTACACAAAAATGTGTACAGGAATGTTCAGGGCAACATTGCAACATTGTTCATAATAGCCAAAAAAGTGGAAACAACTCAAATGTTCATCAACTGAAAAGTGGATAATCAAAATACTGTATATTCATACAATGGAATATTACTCAGTGATAAAAAGGAATAAATTACTGATCCATGCCATAACATGGATAAATCTTTAAAATATTTTGACAAGGCCGGGCTCAGTGGCTCAGCCTGTAATCCCAGCACTTTAGGAGGCTGAGGCAAGTGGATTGCCAGAGCCGTGGGTTCGAGACCCACCTGGGCAACTTGGCGAGACCTCGTCTCTACAATAAATAAAAAAAAATTAGTCGGCCGTGGTAGCGCATGCCTGTAGTTCCAGTACTTGGAAGGCTGAGGCAGAAGTCTGAGGTAGGTTGAGTCTGCAGTGCCACTGCACTCCAGTCTGGGTGACAGAGTGAGACTCCAACTCAAAAAAATAAAAATAAAATAAAATATTTTGATAAGTGAAGGAAGGTGCACACAAAGGCCATATATTATATGATTTTATGTATATGAAATTTCCAGAATATGCAAACCCATAGAGACAGTAATGAAGAGTTACTGCTAATGTATGTGTGATTTCCAAGGAGTGGTGAAACTATTGTTTATTTTTTTCTACAGAGCAGAGTGTGAACACATTACCCTACTCCATAAATTATACAATTGAGTTTTCCGATCTGGGGCTTTCTCGGGGATCAGCACATCTGAAATGCTATAGGTAAGCTTCACCCTGGGAAAACTCCCTTCTTGACCATGGCCTCTCTCCTGCCAGGTAAGTATGAAAATATTCTTGAATTAATTAGTGGGGATGATTGCATGGCTTTGTGAATTTACCAAGAACTCTGAACTGTACATTTTATTTTATTTTGAGTCAGAGTCTCACTCTGTCATCCCAGTTGGACTGCAGTGGCATGCAGACGTTACCACAGCCTCAACCTGCTGGGCTCAGGCAATCCTTCCCGTCAACCTTCCAGGTAGCTGGAACTACAAGTGTGTGTCACCGTGCCCAACTAATTTTTTTGATTTATTACAGAGACAAGTTCTCACCATGTTGCCCAGGTTGGTCTTGAACCCCTGAACTTAGGCAATCCTCTTGCCTCTGCCTCCCAAAGTGCTGGGATTATAAGTGTGAGCCACCATGCCTGGCTTAACTATACATTTTAAAAGGGAAAAAAACCTTACGGTATGTAAATTACATCTCAATTTGATTTTATTTATTTTTTATTTTTATTTTTTATTTTTCTTAGGGACAAGGTCTCATTATGTTGCTCAGACTGGTCTTGAACTCCCAGGCTCAAGCAATCCTCCCACCTCGGCCTCCCAAAGTGTTGGCACTACAGGCATGAGCCACCATATCCGACCATACCTCAATTTTAAAAAAAGAATCTACTGGGTGGGCTCGGTGGCTCAGCCTGTAATCCCAGCACTTTGGGAGGCCGAGGCAAGTGAATTGCCTGAGCCCTCGGGTTCGAGATCAGCCCGGGCAACTTAGTGAGACCTCATCTCTACAAAAAATCAGAAAACTAGCCGGGCATGGTGGCATGCGCCTGTAGTTCCAGCTACTTTGAAGGCTGATGGGGAAGGATCGCCGGAGCCCAGCAGGTTGACGCTGGGTTGACCATGAGTGTGCCACTGCACTCCAGTCTGGGCAACAGAGTTGAGACTCTGACTCAAAAAAAAAAAAAAGAATCTACTGCACAAAATTTATAAAAAAGTGAGTTGTCAGGAGTCACTTGAGCAAGAATGTCTTCCTGGCTGGAGAGACATGGCTCTTCATAGAGTCTGCAGAGAGGGCAGAAACTCTAACCCA